TTTGGTTTTCGTAGCCTTATAATTATGCTTTTATATATATACATATATAGCAAGGGCCTTGCTTTACAGAGGTCACCATCTTGCGCCGCCAGGTATGTACGGCAGACCGAGCGGACAATCCAGCCAGCCAGAGAACGCGTTTCGTGTGTATAAATAAACCAACGAAGACAGCGGAAGGAAGGAAGAAGGAGGAAGAAACAGCAGAGAGTGTTAGTAGTTCGTCGATAGAGAGTAGTGAAAAGTTTTTTTAGTTATAAAGTTTGTGAATGGACCACACTTACCACGCAACAGGAGAGAATGAACCCAAACCGTCATCTGCGAGGAAAAGAAGACGCAGCTTCACTCCTTGTGATGCACTCTCTGCGGCACTTTTCCTCCTGGTGATATATCTCCCAACAATGGTAGCACCGAATCCCATTCTGTGCAGCCAAATGGGAGCGGAGAATTCAGCCTCTATTCTCGCCCGCTCAGCATTCAAGTTCCTCATCTGTATGCTCCGGCTCAAACAGATATGGCTCTGGATCTGTGTCTGCTACAAGAAACTCTTCAAAATCGCTTTCAAAGTCGTCCATTGCAGCTACTATAGTCCGGAGATATTGCTAGGCTAAATAAACAGCTGAGCTCTGTTTACAGGCTATGCTGTCAGTCAGTGTGCGGGCTGGAGATTGGCGGAGCAAAGAGGGGAGGGGGTCCCCGCTAGGTATTGTAAACGAGTATGTGTGTATGAAGTGTGTCTGTTATGCTAGAAGAGTCAGAGTTTGGGACGGAGTGGAGTGTTACCGGAGTTTCTGGAGTGCTCAAATAAACGGGACTTTTTCCCGAACGCTCCTCTGGTCTCCTGCTTGTGAGGGATTCATTACAATATCGTAACATGGTTTAGATTTCTAAATAAACATTCACCTCGTCGCTAGATAGACCTACTCCTGAAAAACTCATGTCTGCGCAAGACTTTTTGTCCCTAAGAGGCCACAGTCATTTACCCGACGGGAGGGGTGAGCGAGTGAGCCCTGCAATCTAGAATTTGACCACTGATGTCACTGTTTTCAACCCATTTTTCACACTGGCCCTTTAAGGGGCTTAGATATTGATATAGCATCACAAGCCTTGCCATGTCATAATGACACACCATTAAACTCCACCATAGAACAATATAGGACAAGCTCTCTTATATCCTGCAAATGATGATCTTGGGCTCTCTTACCTTCTGCCCATGGGGGAGAAAAAAAGAGTGTCCCTATATCTACAGAAAGTCTCTTTGGTTATTGTAACCACAAAGCCCTATCATCATCTGTCGGATACTCCCAGGCTTTTCTCCTGACAATTGTATGGATTACGATTTAGTTATTGTGTTTTGTGTTTTTATTGTAGTAATATTGTCACAGTCATCTGAGGGAATTTTCATTTTATTTCAGTAAATAAAGAGCAGAGGGAGGAATCAATAAAGCAAACATGTGTTAATGCGTTCGGTTGTGGGGAAATTGGAAGTGAAAATGTACCGATCAATTACCATCATATCCACTAACGGTTCCCTGTAACTCTGGCGTCTTTGTTGTGGCTTTTACTGTATGACTCCTATGATACATCAATACAGGTTATTTATTGCAGCTGCATCAACAGAGTATCTTTATGATTACGATACAAAAGCCACATGGACCTGAGCATGAAGAGAAACGTGTTGCGTCACATCACCCATTGTTTATGAGGATGTTTTAAAGCTTACAGTTTATTTGCTCCAATCCAAAAAGCTGTGGTCACTCCAACTAATACCAGCCTTCCTCTTGACCTTTCGCGTTTTTCTGCCTTATAAAAACATAAGCATCATGAAACTGGAGTCACTGAGAATTACCCTCTCTCTGTCCATCTCTGTCTTGCTTTTCAGGTGACCCTGCGGCAGAGGAGTGGTCACAGTGGAGTGTGTGTTCTCTCACATGTGGGCAGGGCTGGCAAGTGAGGACGAGATCGTGTGTTTCCTCTCCCTATGGGACTCTGTGCAGCGGAGCCCTGCGGGAAACACGCATGTGCAATAACACCGCTTCCTGTCCAGGCGAACCTGGGATCATAGGCTCAGGTATGTTTACTGAGTCGCGTTAGTACTGTTTCGTCACAGAAAAAACGATGAGAGGTGAATCTTTATCTGTGCAGTTTCTTGGATGCATGCTGGGATATGCCTCAGGCTCTTGTGACCACAAGTATGGATTAAAAGGTCGAGAACATACATGTCCAAGGTTTAGCAGTGCTGCAGAAATGATGACCAAATACCTTGTTTGCAGTTTGCGTTGCAGGCCTGGCTTTTGTGATTTGTTCTGTAAATGTGCTTTGACGAAATGCAGCTTTCAACCATAAGCTCTCTGCCTCGCACCTCACTCATCCATGCAGCATTTACTTATCTGTTCACAATGTGTTAAGAAAGCTGTGAAACCAAAGAAAATAATGACAGTGTGAAACTCTGTCACTTTTGAAGAAGGTAGGCGGTATGCACACACACACACAATCACACAGTCACACACATCATGTGGGATCTGCTCAGCTGAAACATAATCTAACCATGGTGGAGCAGAAAAGAAACCTACAAAATGAGAATGTCACTTTGTCATTTCAATTCACACTACTGACCAGCAGCGAGAGGAGGAGACTGATGTGACACCTAAGCTCGATGTCAGCAAGTCTATTAGACTTGCCACAGCTCAGAAGTTCATACTTCCTGGATTCTCTATCTTTAGCTCTGTTTTCACTTTCCTCTCAGCATTGTTCTCATTTCCCTTGTCTTGTCTGTATCTACTATCTATATCAGTGTTTTCATATGTCTGTGCAGACAGTGTTGTAATGAAAATGAAAACAGTCATCGAACAGAGCATAATTAGCAGACAATCTTCTAATGATACTTTAATTTACAATGAAGACTAAGATATACAATGAAGGAAATTGTAATGAAACCTGTGTTTTACAGTGATAAGCATAGAAAACATGCAAAACGATAACTAGAACTGCTGCAGCTTTTGCTGTGATTTCAGAGGAATTATAGCTTTTCATTTTAGATGCAATGGCAGCTCCAAGATATATTTAACCAATCAAATACAATTTTCATATGCATACATGCTCTGCCAATCAGGGTGAGTGTATTCAACCCTATCTGCTTGCTACAAAAAGGCAGGAGCAGAATGAAGAGCACCTCATCCATTTTTTCCCCCAGCAACACACAACACAATCAAGCCCGATCAGTTCACTGAGGGAACTTGTGTACTGCTCATCCTGAATATTGCGCGCTGTGCTCTGGTTTGATTGCCGGTGTAGGTCTTTACAAGAGGAAATTGTGAAGTACTGCCTGTCCTGCTCTGGTTTGATTGATTGCCCTGATTGCAATTGAAGTGAAATTCTGTAAAGCACCGACTCCCTCCCGCCTGGCTTCCGTCCCTCCCCTAATCCACTACTTGTGCTCACTCCCCAACCAGAGGATGACAAAAATTCAGTATTCTTTGGTAAAACCACAGTTGATGAATGATGAAGTGGTGTAGCCAACACCCTAGCCCCTCCTGCTATATTAGCAGTCTTTAGCCTGTCGACCAGCTAAGGTAGCAAAGTTGTTTTTCAGCTTTATTACCATACTTGAGGAAGTGTGGGAGTGTGAGGAGGCTTCTTAGTCAAAACCTTTTAAAGGGGAACTCCACCAACTTTACACATGAAAGTGTGTTTAAATTACTCAAATGATTTTGGTTCATGCAGAAAACTCCAAGTTTCAGTGTCTCTGTGTGTCTTCCTCAAGCTTGGGTCCTCTACCAGAGGCCTGGGAGTTTGCGGGTTCTGCGAAGTTCTGCTGTTCCTAGGACTGCACTCTTCTGGATAGAGACCTCAGATGTTGTACCTTGAATCTACTGGAGCCACTCTCCCAGTTTGGGGGTCGCAGCCCGGAGTGCTCAGTAGCTGGATAGCTCAGTGGTCAAGGTCACTGACTTGCAGGAGACCGAATTTCGAAGACTAGCCAGGGCAGGTTACACATTTCCAGTCTGAACCCTTAGGCAAGGTTCTGAATGCTGCTAGACCGCATAAACAACAACAGTCATACCGGCTCAGACTCCGCCCAGATCAACAAGGTCTGTGTCAGGTGTTGGGGTACTGGGGCAAATCAGGCTACTGAGAAATCAGGGTCTTGATTTCTAGATAGACAAAATCGTATAACTTCGTATAATGTATGC